AAAACATTATTTTTAGACACCATACTTCATTCTGAACTTTTATGTACAAGTAAGATAGCATTCTAGGACGATACAATGTCTATATCTCCTCCTTGACAAAGCCCTAGGTAGGGCCCTTGGCGAATGGGCACAGAAACCATTATTTAGGGCCTTTTATTTTTTATTCTTATGAAGGACAAATTTCAGGGTCACCGCAAAGTGACTCTGAGCCTTTATGTTCACCATGAACCAAGTTCCAGGGGCGCCGCCAGCAAGGGCGCACACGGAGGGCACAGGGGCACACTAGCTCCCTTGGGTCCCGAGAGGCCAGAATGACGCCTCGGACCGGTGATTAAGGGCCCGGTTGGAGGGGTTGATTGGCCGGCCGGAAGTCGTATGAAGGAACCATATCCCGCAGTGCTAACCCCTTAAACATCATTGAGAGGGTCTCTTGTGCCCACTGATACAATGGCGGCCAGTATGTCGGTCAGAGATCACCATACTTGGGTGTCGATTGTGTCGGTCTGGGCCTTTGAGGACTTTTTCCTGAGCAGGGACAAGGATGGGGCCTGAGGATGTCGCTGAAGGCCTCTTTCGTGGGTTGGGAAACCTGCAACAATAAGGGACCCCGGTGCTGATTAGAGCTCGACATGTCTAACTGGGAATCATGTGCCGGCAAGGGGCTTGACATTGACCAGTGGCATATTTGCTGAACAAGAACGGGAGCAAAACCCCAAACGTGTGAAGACCTCAGACGCTGGTCGGCGCCATCTGACAATGAGAGGTGTAATGACCCAGATTAATGAAAGGCCCCCAATGAAATAACGGAAGGGGCCTACTTCAGTCGGGGGCTCCAATACCGTAGTGGGCGTCCTTCGCTCAGTTTTAACCATGAACCCGTTAAGTTGATATGGGGTCCCTGTGCCAACTATAAGTTCCCGTCTATTATTGGGGATCATTTTGCGTCAGAAAGCACCTCTGCGTCAAAATGGTGTCAGATGCCCCGATCGGAGGGCTTACCGCATCTGGAAGGAGCCCGGCGTATGACACATTCCTCTGAGGGCCTCCAGATTGACCAAGGGCACCGGCCCTCGTATTGTCAGAACGACAGCCGCAAGGGACCCCGGGCTGGAATGCAGGGGAAGGGCCCCTGACCTGTAAATTCAACCTATGCGATTTTGAGACAAATGCTTTGAACGAATTAGTAGACACAACAACGCGAATTGCAGAGATAATGCAATTGCGGGATGAGGTCGAGATGCTGTACGTGCTAATCCATTCCGAGTATCAATCTGAAAGCTGGTGGGGTGAAATCTACGGCGCTGTTATCTTCCACACGTGCGAGCTATTTTTTGTGGAGGGTCCGAACATACTAGTCGTCATCATCTGTGATCATTTCACCGTCCGTTGACCGCCAAGTGTTACGTCATCTAAGAACTAAAAGTTGCGGGTTTCGACGCTGCGCGCCTTATGGAGATTGCAACGCTGGGACAGGTGTCACATCCGATTACCGGCGCATATGCTCAAAACGGATTGGTATAATTTTGCACTGATAGATGGTGAAGACAGAGTGAAAGCAGCTCCTAGGGGAACATGGGTGAGAAAAATGGTCCCCTCGAAGTTGGATGGGAATAATGCGGCGAATAATTTTTTGGAGTCTTTTTTCGCCAGCAGAGGCCACTCGTTAACCGAAGCGCTTCTCACGTAACAAGCCAGGCTTCGCCACTGGGCACAAGGTTTGTGCATTGCATGGTCGGATCCTGGAGATCGGTGCAGGTCAGTACAGCTAAGCCCTCCTATGCCCAGACTTGTTTATTTCATCATTATCATGAGCACGTTAAGGGCGGACCCGAAATGTGGAGCAAGCAAATTACTCACTGAAACTCATATATATATATATATATATATATATATATATATATATATATATATTATATATATATATGTATACAGATATACAGATATATCTGGGTACTTTTACGGTACTGTACTTTTAAAAGTGGCTGCAAATATTTCAGTCAATCGTTTTTTATCCCAGTACATGCGTCACCTTGTGAAACGTTGTCCAGCATTTGCTGACTGACCTAAAGCATGAAGGACCAGGCATGACAAAAACACTGGGGAACCCTCTGGATACCATTTGGCACAAGTTAAACGCAATCGTGCGTTGATGCGTTGATGCGTCTGATGCGCATCAATGCGCATCAACATCTGATGCGCGTTGATGCGTCTCGGTCAATAGTCTATCAATAATTTACATAAGTTGTCTGCATTACTATAACTGAGTATTTTCTTTGAGCATGAATTGAAGGGGCTCAGAAGAGCATTAGGAGCTATACATACATGCATGCATGCATGCATATATATATATATATATATATATATATATATATATATTTATATGTACATGTATGTATGTATGCATGCATGCATGCATGCATGTATGTATGTATAGCTCCTAATGCTCTTCTGAGCCTATTCAATTCATGCTAAAAGAAAATACTGAATTAAAGTAATGCAGACAACTTATGTCAATTATTGATAGACTATTGACCGAGACGCATCAACATTAGATTGCGTTCATCTTGTGCCAAATGGTATCCAGAGGGTTCCCCAGTGTTTTTGTCATGCCTGGTCCTCCATGCCTTAGGCCAGTCAGCAAATGCTGGACAGCGTTTCACAAGATGACGCATGTACTGGGATAAAAAACGATTGAAATATGCAGCCACTTCTAAAAGTACAAGGTAGTCTAGATAAATGTTAACCATGCTTCCCTCAACAGGGGAAAGTGTATTTGTCGCACAATCGTGGCTACAGTACGATTCGGCTACCAATTGAATGGCAAAACACGATCCGCGCCAGCGGTGATCATCACCAATGTATTTATTATTTTTATTTTATTCATTAATTATTTTACACCCACCAAATCCTGGTTGAAAAATGTCGCCAATTTTAAACGAGTAAAGAAGCGCCAGTTCCACTTCTATGGCAGGTACATTGTAAAAGTGCACTTGAAAATTTACCATAAGCTCTCGCCCGCACGTGTTAAGCCATACCATTCTATATAAAACCGTCTGTTACCACCTCAGGCCATCTTTGGTGAACGGTGAACAACACCTACTTCGTTGATTACAAGGGCTCGAATGACTCAGATCGGCTCAGCCCCCCCCCCCCCCCCAACCAAATTCAGAGAGTGATCCAATTTAGATGAACTATACCCATATAGTGATAGGTCATTTCGGTGACGTTTTGGGACGCGCGGAAATGCACGTTTCATGGCGATTTTACCACAGATATCAGCAGCCGTATATCCCAATAAATTTTGACGTCAGAAATTCAAATGACTAACGTGTCGCTGGCGCGCCATATTTTAATTCCCTCGCTTCTTAAATGTGCAGAACTGATATCACTCGTGCATTGCTGCACTCATATTCCTCATTTCAAAAGCTTTCAAATTTTGTACCTCGTCATGATAGCGAAACAGGTGGTACACAATCCGGAAATTTACGTTTTTCTTCGTTTTGCTGACGCTATTTACCTAATTTCTAAAACTTTCAAGTTTCTTACTTGTTCACGTGCTTCATGTCGAAACTTTCAGCACAAAATCTAGCAATTTTCGCATTCCCCGTTTTACTGAAAACAGGCAACACTAGAATTAGTCATTGTAAACGGCATGGCACATTTTACATTCCCAGAAAGGTGACCCCAGGTTTGACCCCCAGAAGGCAAGGTACGGCACTAAATTGAAATACGGTACTAAATTCCCACGAATTTCAGTGCTTCGTCGTTTACTGCCACTACCACGAACAGTGCAGTATAGTGTCATGCGATGTCACCCTAGTAATACAACTTAGAATTCGAATGTAAGTCACTGCTGTCGCTTTTTATCACTCATTGTAAAGTTAGCGGCCTACGAAATGAAACGTTCTGGTTTGCTCACACAAATTAACGGTGGCTTGTCATATGAGTGACGCTTTTATCACTGACCTCTATGAATCTAAGCGGGCAACTTCAACTCATTTTGCCACACGCTCTCCAAACTTTTTAGCTTAGCATTATATTTATATTTATTATATTTTAGCAGCCATTAGTTTTGGGAGAAAATAAACGCGCTGTAAGAACTGACGCACTTTTTTGGGCTCCCACTGAGTGCAGAAAGAGATAGTCTACTGCATCACAAAAATCCGAAAATCAATTCGCCTAAATTTGAGGATTATTGAAGGGGGAGGGGCATCCCCGTCCGTCCCTGCAGGGGCGTCCTTTGGGCCATTGGGGGGTAGTACCAGTTGTCGCGCATCCTTTCCTTGATAACGGTACTTTCTCGCCCTCAGGAGACTACGGGACAGCCGAACGGGTCCTTGAGCCGAATGAGAGCCGAATGAAAGCTGTCCTCTAAGGCCCTGGGCTTTACATTCCGAGTAGAAGGGGCACGTGCCCCAGTGTGTCCCCACCCCCACTCTGTCTGGATCTGCCCTTGTGTTACCACCACGCTGCTCAAATGAAGGGTTGTTTGATAGATGATTGAAAAGAACAGGAAAAATTGTCATTCATGAATATAAAGTGAAGTTTGAGAAATTTACGATCGATCGATGGATGTAAGCGATCTAGCCATCTGGCGTGGGGCTAGATGGTCGCGCTCGCTCTTCTCCCAATCATTCACAAAATTGGACACTGTCATAATATCTGAAATTATGTATATATATATATATATATATATATATATATATATATATATATATATATATATATATAGATATATCGCTGATGTCAGGACAAATCTCGCGTCAACAATTTTGTACACAAAACTTTTGTATGCATATATTAGCTTGGTATTAATCACTGATATCTTCTGCGCACGAAGTAAGAAGCGTGTGGTAACACTACACCGAAAGCAAGTGCCAAGTGCCACCAGTGACCAAAGGACCTACGAGGCCGGGGAATTTGATTACCAACTGAGGAGGTCGAGAGGCATATGCTCGTCATAGCTGTTCACCACTCACAAAAAGCTTCAACAGCTCAGGATGTATTTACGTTTCAACACATGACAGTCACGTTGGCAGCACACACATGTCTCGGTCATCACCTAAAGCGCAGCGAGCGTCCCTGACGCGGGCGGGCGGCAACAGGCGGGATCCGTGGCGCGGTCCTCGTCGGCGGCGACTCGGAGGCCCCTCCGGCTCCAGGCCGACGCCGACGCCGACGCTCTCGGCTGGGCTGGGTTCACCACCAGCGCGGACTCGTCACGGGCCGTGCTCGTGCTCGTGCTCGGCCCGGCTCGGCCCGGCTCGGCCCAGCTCGGCCCGGCTGGGCTGGGCTAAGCTGGGCTCGTGCTTGGCTGACCGCATGGCTGAGCTCGGCTCGTGCCGGGCTGGGCTCATGCTGGGCTCGGCACGACTGGGCGCAGCTCGGCGGGTGCGGTCGCTCACTCGTCACCGAGCCGCGGCGCGAACGGCGCCCTGGCTGCGCAGACGGCGCTCGGCCAGGGGACAGCCGGAGCCGCCCTCTGACGGCCCTACACCCGGACCTCTTGTAACCTCCCAGGCGAGGAGCGTCCCAGTTGCGCTTGGTCGGCTCTGTAACCATAACCACACTGGTCAGTCAAAACGACACCGGTCAATCGTAAATCGCATTTCGCACATGAAGACCACAACGTAGCTCGAAAGACAACAAGAGCCCAGAGCGATTGTGCATTCCACAAAGCGATAACCAGAAGCAGAAAAGGAAGCAGGCCAAACTATGATTTATCATTGAAACAACACATCTGGAATGGTCACAACGTTGGGATATGATATTCGACATCTCGGCGTCATCAGTGTTCTTGGGATCACCTGCATCGTGCCGATTCACTAACTCCCATTCGTCACGTTAACGGTACCGGTCATCAACAGGCTCTTACCTTACAACTTAAGGTAAGCATTCTGCTGTACTCACGAAATGCTGTCAGATAACATACCAATATCTGGCCTTGTCGCGCTCTCTGCTATGTTTACGTCGGCCGACTGGAAGGACACCTACCATTTGATCACCGCTGCCATTGGCCGACTGGAGGGACACTCACCGCTGTCATTGACCAACTGGGGGGACATTCACCGCTGTCATCGGCCGACTGGAGGGACACTCACCGCTGCCGTCGGCCGACTGGAGGGACACTCACCGCTGCCATCGGCCGACTGGAGGGACACTCGCCGCTGCCGTCGGCCGACTGGAGGGACACTCGCCGCTGCCATCGGCCGACTGGAGGGACACTCGCCGCTGCCATCGGCCGACTGGAGGGACACTCACTGCTGTCACCGGCCGACTGGAGGGACACTCACCGTTCATGTCGGCCAACTGCAGTGACGCGGCTTGCAGCGGCACCTCATCAGACCACGGCCGTTTGTCGGCCAGCTCCTCCAGCATCAGCGACTTTTTGCCGATCCGCGGGTAAGGGATGAGGCTCTGGCGCTTGTCCATGGCGGTGTCTCGTCGACCCACGCGGGGAAACGGGACCAGACCCATGGAGCGGGCTCGACCCACGCGGGGAAACGGGACCAAACCCATGGAGCGGGCTCGACCCACCCGAGGGAACGGGACCAGGCCCATGGAGCCGGCTCGCTTGCCCACCCGCGGAAAGGGCACCAGGCCTAGGCTGCTGCGCTCCGTCCGCAGCAGGCCGTCCAGCGGCAGAGAGATGTACTCCGGCTTCTCGTCCCGGTCTGCGGGCACAGTGCAGTCACACACAGGTGGTACTCGCGCCGGCCGAGCGGGTCGGACTACCGACAGACAGATGTAAGAAACACGCACGGCAACGCGATGTCAGACGGACACGGGAGCGCCCGCGGCAGCTCAACGTCAGGCGGACAACCAGGAGCACGCATAACGCCGCAGCTTCGAATGGTTAAACGGAGCGTACACTGTCTTATGAAGTGCAGTACATGACGGCCTTAGCGAGCCACAAGACATGGCAACGAAACATCAAGTGAGGTGGGGTGTGAGCAGCCATAGCACCACAACACCAGGCGGACACGGGTTTCACACAAGACACAGCATCTGACGGACACACGGAGCAAACACCGCAACTGCTCTCCGGCCTGGCACTGACAGAACGAGTTGTACTTGGCCGTGACACCCTCCCCAGACACATGATTGACGGTTTGCGGTCAAGAATAGTAAATTGGGTAATCACACATGGCGGTCACGGTAGAAAACTGCGAGGGCTCATTCAGCTAAACCACCATCGCGCGGGTACGCGATGAGGTCAACCATTCACTTCAATCGCACCTCAAAGAGCACATGAGTGGCTTGGACTAGGTACGGGGGCGAAGCCAGGCTTTTGGGTTCAACGCCAATGCCGGAGTTAAGGCAACTACATGAAGCCGAAGTCAAAACCGAAGCCGCTGTCTTTGAAGCCTGGAAATGTAAGGCCAAAGGAGAAGGCATTGTCTTCACAAGTTTACAACGTCGAGCCGAATCCGAAGTCAGTAGCTTCGAACTTTGTACACGCTATGCCGTAATGGAGATAGCATCTGAAAACGTGAAGCTTAGGCCGAACTGATTTTTCATGAGGCTTAAGTCGAACTTATCAGCTCAAAATCACGAAACCGAAGCGGAAACCAAATCTAGAGTTCAGCGCTGTTTCCAAGACCCAAACCAATTTTGCGTCTGCTAGAACTGTATGAGATCACGAAACCAGCGGAGTTTTCCTTGACAATTGAGATGAGGTGATAGCAATAGGTGTGGAAGATTAGTCTGGGCTACAGTTCTGCTTTTGTGTATAAGTTTGTGCAAAATGTTTCGGACAGCCAGTCATCTCGGGCTGTCGTTAGGTGTTTATCGGTCGCATAACCGGATAACATTGTAACTTTCAGCCATGAATGCGACGCAGTCTCGGAGCGTTGTATGGTATATTGGATGACAGAGAGGCAAAATTGTGTTTGGGAGGTTTGATCGCAATCGCAGTGAAAAATCTTATCGTAAAGCTGGAGCCAGCAGTTGAAGATCTAATAAATGTGAGGTCCAAACCTTAATTCAAAACTTCTTCAAAACTGAAGTTAAAGACAGCTGTTAAAGGCGACTGCAAGTCGAAGCCAAAGCCGAATCCAACTGCTCGAAAGGGCATGGAGCCGGGTCTGAAGCCAGCTGTGGAAAATTACTCCAGCCTAACCCAAACGTGCCGAAGCGAAAGCCGACTTTGTCTCCATGCCTGAAATGGACCGTTGTTTGCACAATGTACAGAGGTCGTGTCTCAACACACCATGCACAATAACACGAGTGACTTGAGTTTAGAGCCAGTGATTCGGCATGTCTGTGATGCCATCTGTTGGATGCTGGCCTCGTTCTCTCGCCTCAATGTGTACCTGTTCCTCAATTGACCTCTCAGCCCGGTGCTGCTGTAAGGTCCATCGAGGAACAGGACGACCCATCTCCGCGGCACTGGAGTTTCTGACGAGATGGCCTAGCCGTGCTGCCTTGATTGTTTTGCACTATGTGCGTGACTCTGGCGGTGAGTAATGTGCTGATACCCTGATGAGTAATCAGCGCTGCATACTCTAGCGACGGTGGTGATAACGCCCCTCGGTGTGGGCGGCGCGAGTGGCTGGTCCGGCTCGTCAGTGGATACAAAGACACTCGCTGAATCAATGGGGCGGTGGGAGCCGTAGAGGCTTGTAACTAGATGGAGATGTATTGCAGATAGTTGCTAGTTGATTTAGATGGGGTAGGTGCTTGTTGTAAGCCTTCAAATTAGTCATATATACGACGGATCGAATTGTGTCGGAGACTATTTCAGCATGGCGGCAGGAGCTGTTCTGTTCTGTGTAGTCATGTTGTCTCGTCCGCTCCCATTTTAGGCAGGCTCTGAGTGTGTGTTCCAATTCACAGGGTAACCCTAAAGTTTGGAGTGCTTCTTGCAGATTCCTTACGAATCCAAATTGATCTACCGTCGTTGGCCATTAGTCAGAACGCCCTCGCTCGGAACGCGTGCCTTACAGTTTCGGACCAGTTGTGATAATAATTTTGCGGTGGCTGAGGTGGTAAATCAACACCTGGGCCTCATTCCATAAAACGAATCTGCGAACTTACGCACGTCTAAATTGCAGCATGTACACATAGTAGTCGGAAGCAAACCAACTTTACTTGATCTTTTCATTCCCAACACATTAATAAACATGACGTGCCGTTCGAACTAACCTAAGCTTAGTCAATGAACCCATGCCACGCAAATACGACATGTGTTCATTTGCACTTGTGTCTCATAAAGCTAGGTCCCCTTGTGTCTCATAAAGCTAGGTCTCCTTGTGTCTCATAAAGCTAGGTCTCCTTGTGTCTCATAAAGCTAGGTCCCGATATGTGTCCTGATGACTGTTGCACCCATTGACCAAATCGGCACATGTGCCTATAGACGTCCACAGTTACGTGCGTCTCATGCACGTCGCTAGTTACGTATTTCATATGGTGTTTTATTTGCGGGACTCAGTGTTTTACTTTTGGTTTGGCTTGTTCAATTTTCCGGATGTGTTTTAATTTTCCATTGAACGGAATCAATGAACTCACCACATCATTATCTTTTAGTTGCATGTTGTACCAAAAATCAACTGGGGCAGACTATACCTAAGCATGAATTAAAAGAGCCTGCCTCCTTTGGGAGCTATGTTGATAAAACTTATGAATTCATTAGAATCTTCCACGTTCATGCGTTTCGCAGACGGAGGTGCAGTGATAGTTCGTGGCCGCGCACTACACATTTATGACTGGAAGATTGACTTGTTTAGAGCCAGAGTCCCAATAATTTACTCGGTTCAGTTACCGTGACTTTAATCTACGACATGAGTTACTTTTGGACCAGATCACTTTTTTGGTGAATGTGGTGAAACCATAGAAAAAAGCTAATATCTTAGTTACATAAAGATCAGAACAAGCTAAGCTACGCACCCACGTATTTTTCACGGTCAGCTTGGTCAGGGTAAACCACAGTGTGATGTTGTCCCTTGCGGCTGATTTTGGAAGAGGTGACATTGGTGACTCCCAGTCTATTACAGCCGCGGTTGTTAGCCTGACAGTGTTGAAATATCGTGTTCATATGTGGATGGTACGTTCGCCTGCACCGCACAGCTGGCTTCCCATGCCTGCCTGCTCTGGCTGCCAAAATCTGACGTCAACAGAACGCCCTCAAACGGGCGGATTCATGGTATGCGCCTGCTTGCGCGTGAAAGTCTCCATCTGCTAAAACCACGCTTTACCAGCAAAAAAATCCCTTAATTTTCCATTAGCATTAGTTGGTGTCATCTTGCTGCGACGTCTGGTAGCCGAGATCTCATTCTTTTTCTAGCCCGCGATGTTCAGCTTTTTCGCGATCTGAAAATGTTACAATCGAATGGGGAGAGGGGGGGGGGGGGGGTACAATAGTTGCGACATCCTAAGTGACGGACATGAAGAATACCAAGTTATACCTTTATAACTGTTATACCTTTGGAATGATATATTTCTCATGTTGGTGCACGCATGATTAATTATACACTTCGGGCCGATCCGACCGTTGTTCGCTGAGATCTAGGGCCGGAAACCGCAACAGGTTGCGATGATGTGCCCAAGGGCAGTGAGACATAAGTGTCAAAAAAATGTCGGAAGGCAAAATCTATCTGCAGCACCTGCTTTCTTTGCCATAGCATAGCGTGAATTATATATAATTTCGTGGAACATAGGAGAGTGATCGCTTGCCTATCCGCTCACTAACATGCTTGCACTGGAAGGAGGTGGATGCTGCGGAATCCTCAACAGCTCTGAGTAAGTTGCTTAAAAAAGAGGCCATGGAAAAAGAGGCTGTTAAAAAAGAGGCTAATGGAATAGCGTTACTGTGAGTCTGAGACAAACACAGCCAATGTATCTAGGTAACGTTGTGACGCTGATACCCTTGTGGCAAAGCCAGTAAGTCACAAAACCGCGGCAACACAGAGGGCTCTAAGCACATCACTAAAACATTAATGGTCATCACCGTAAGATCTTCCACATCATTGAAATTAATGGTGGCTAAGTCTCCAATTTTTTTTTCTCAAAACCCTATTACGGCCGAAGTTTTGCTATACTTTAAGAAGTAGCCCGGACCTGCTCCATTCCCTCCAATGCGCCGGCACCAGTTTGCAGGTATAGCTAATTCCCCACATTTCCCCCTCCCCATGTTTCCAGCATATCGCGCTCTGGAGCCAATTTAAAACACATCTCTTTAAAACATTGTGTGCTCCTGGTCCCCGCGAGCGCACCAGGTGCATTCACTTCAAAGGACTACTTATGAAAAAATGCCTACATTTTAATAAAGTTCATACAAATGCGCATGGTTGTCAATTCTCTCAGCGAATCATTTGGAACCTATTCTGAAGTTGATGAAGGCTGCGTCCTTTACACATATCCAAGCAAAGGGTGGCACGATTCACTTGGTTGCTACTGAGGCTGACCTCTCGGGGATCAGCGAATAAATAAAGAACACCCAAATATATGACCGGTGTCGGCTGCCGGTGAACAGCACAGCGCGTGCGCGTGTCATTTAAGCTGGAATACTGGCCAGTGGTGGCTGAGCAATTAGCCAGCGGCGTTTCTAAGTCAGGAAAAGTAAACTTGTAACTTTTTCGCTAAAAATACGTTATGCCAATGTAGGGAAAATCGTATTAAACAGTAGTAGGGAAGAAAAGGAAATGCATCGAGGCACACGGTGGTATAAATTTGC